TTTTTACCCCCCCCCCCCCATTGAACGTTACCCCACTGCCTTGTTTGCCCATGCATTTTGGCGATGAGGGTGCTGGAGATGTCTCGGCTTTCTATTTAATATCAAGGGTGCGTTCGGTGCTCGATTTTTAGTAAACGAAACTTGAAAAGTCTATGGCACTTTTGTATATTAAATGCTTGTATTTATAGTATACATTATTTATATGGTATGTGTTCGAATATTCACAAGCGTGAATACATTTTGCGGTTTTCACAAATGCTGATGGTTTGACCGTATAATGTAGCGATGCTGGAGACAAGAGAAAAAAGGGAGTACTAAAGGAAAGGAAAGAAAACCGCAAAACTTCAGCCTCGCGAAGGCATCCTCTATGGGACTTCGTAACGTCGTAGCCGCCATGATAATTATTTTCTAGAGTCGTTTGAGCGTGACGTACGAAGAGTCTTGGTGAGAAAAAATGATCTCTTTAAAGACGAAATTGTAGTAGGAAAATTAATGAAATTTAACGCTCTATAAATGACGGGTAGGGGTATATTACACGTATGCACAAAAGTAAATTGTTTACTTACAATTCATATTTGCTCTGTAAAAGCTCACCAATTGGGGCAAGTAAGGAATTGCACAAGTCCAGATTCCACATGGTTCTGCGAATACAATTAACATGAATGTTTCTAATCAGAAAATATAAATTTTTAAACGTATTCTTCCTTTAGGTTTTACGAAGAAATACTTACGGTTTCAATGTAAGAATTCCTAACAGGTCTACGATTACGGACAGGTCATTCATGGCTACAGCTGAATCCACTGCTGCCTGAAAGTTAATATAAATTATCATTAAGAAATTGTCCCTTTTTATTATATATATTTACTTGTATGCTGCAGAATGTATGAATATACCTTCAAGTCTTTATTATGCCATAGGGAATAGATTATTTGAAGCGATCGATGGCGACTTGCTAATACTGCCATCATGGACTCGTGGCCACGCATCATGCTACTTAGCACTTCGGCTTCAGACATTTCTGGGAGAACTCCCATCTGTGTATAACCTAAGCCTTGTCCCGTGTACTTATTCTATATAAGAAAACGAATATAATAAATCATTAGTAAATAATATTTATTTCTGAAAGCAATTAAAAGCACAGGAAAAAGGCCGGTACTGACCGGTAAGAAAGTTTCCACATCCAGGCCATAAGGTCTGTCCGCACTCATGGGAACGAATTCTTCCTTTTCCTTATCCTCCATAGACGGTGCTCGTAACTGCGGCACTCTAATATCGACCTTAGGGCTTGGTTGCACCTGTGCCTTATTTGGCCTCTTAGCAGCAGGTGCATTACGTGCTGAGAGAGGCGATGAATTAACAAAACTTCTGCTAAGTGAGGTCGACCGAGATTGGGCAGTATTTGGTCTATTTAATGCAGGATCCGAGGGGCTGTGTCTTATGTTAATTCTACAACATATATTAATAAATCCTTAAATGAATTATCATTAACTTATTCGGACGCATTACTCACTGTACGGGGTAGTCACTGTCGTATCCCTGTTCTCCATCCCTACAACTACTTTGTCTCTTAAAGAAATGTTTAGGCGAGTCCGGACTTGGTGCTCTATTCTTAAGTTTTCCATCGTCTATAACAGGAGAAATGGCAGCCATAGGAGCTACTCTCGGTGTAAGAGTTGAATTTGATCTCTGAGGACCGAGTGGAGGATTTCCAGGAGTAGACTTCCTTCCGGGTAACGGAGTTATATTCTGTCTAAGAGGCGGTATTGCCGTGAGGTTCTTCGAGTTTCTAGCAGTATTATTTGCTTGAAGATTCGCCCTTATTTGACTTGTGGACGTTATTAAGTTCCTCTGTACAGGAGGTGAAGATTTTATTGGATGTACTCGTACAGGGACTGGCTTCATTATTGGCGGTGTTGCTGAAGGTACCGTTGATACTGATGTTGATACCGGAAGTGATAAGGATGGTATTGAAGAAGGAGAAAACAGTTCTGACCCATCATTCGGATCCGTAGTGCTCAGATTTGACATTGAGGTAGATAAATTCTGAAGGATTTGTGGCTGCGTTGGATCTAGAAGCAAAAAGAAAATTATCAAAATGAATATATATAAGGATGTGTGTACAACTAACTAGGGTTAAAGAAACGCCACTTTTGGTGAAACTTACCTACTTCTTGAGGCTCCGGAAAAGCCTCAGGTTCTGGCGGAGGAGTGCGAGACACTGAAACATACCGTGCATAGCATGCTTTTTCACAAACTGTACAACATTCAGTCGTCCGCTGTTTAAAATTAGGATCTGGTGTGCGTCGGAGATTAATGCACAACGTTAATGATCAAACATGCAGAACAGTATAATAATCTAGGATTATTGAGTAAATCTATGGTTACGATGACAAATAATAGGAGACACAGTGCAAACAAAAAAAAATCTTGATTAATTAATTAAATTACACTCACGTGATCTATTAGGTTGAAATACATCCTGGTATTCGGTTACATTTGGTATATCCGCGAAGGTGACTTCATCTTCGGGATCTGTTCCAGATTTATCGGCTTCTTCAATTGTTTTCACATCCAATCTACTTAAAGTGATTCATATGGTAGTTTACTATCTCTTAATGCAAATATAAATTTTCTATACGTACGAGTGTTTCTTTAAGTTCGGAGGTCTTTCTCTGGAGAAACTTTTTCTCAAAGAATTTCCATGACTGAATGGCGAGACTGGTGAAGTGATTCCTCCTAAAGGCGCTATTTTCTTAAGATCACACACGTATAGAACTATGTTTGCAATGTGAAAGGATGCACCTATCTGTAGAACAAAATAATATTATTTTTTATTGTTTTTTATATTTTAATATAATTTGATGACTTACAAGCTGATTTTGTGCCACTGCAATATCCTGCACTTTTCCCCAGCCGGTTGGGACTGTATCCAGGGTTCGTGATGGTTCCCATCCATAAACTTTTAGGACATCAGTACTACCAGCAAATAGACACTCCCCACCTTGGCTGAAATATAAACACCTGAGGAAAAAATAATGAGTTTATTGACAAGCTCATGGGATATCATTATGTAAAGTATACCTAACAGCTGATGTGTGATTTTGCTCTGTTGTTGAAACTAATTGGAAAGATTCAAGGTCCCAGAAATGAACTGTTCTATCAGAACTACCACTAGCCAGCAAGAATTCATGAGGATGAAATTCTACTGTTGTAGCTGGTCCTCTGTGCTCTGAAAATTCTTGGAGTTGTCTACCTGCTTTGAGGTCCCACAACTGAATCAATGAAGTAATTAATAATTAGATACATTACTTTAACCATGATTCATAGTGGCACAATGCAATACTTTACCTTGACTGTTCCTTCTTCTCCAGCACTGGCAATCCACTGACCATCTGGACTAAATTTTAAACTATTGACAGTCCTGTCATGTCCTTTGTATGTGAAGATACAGCCTTTCCTTCGCATGTCCCATAGCTTAATTGCTGTGTCCAAACTGCCTGAAGTCAGTAACTCTCCATAGGGATGAAAATCCATACATCGAATAGCTGCTTTGTGTCCAGTAAGAGTTCGTACAAGCTTGGCATGTTCAAGATCCCAAATTTTTAATGCACCTGTTTGTGAGCCAGCGCATACCAGATCCTCTGTTTGACCAAATCGAACACACTCAATGGGAGTTGTGTGCCCACTAAGGCTCTATAAAGAAAAAAACTATAATTGTTGTCCAAAATTTTATTTGTCATAAAAAAGGCAATATTCAAAAGCAACAACACACCATAATACAATTCTGTTTTCCAACAGCCCATAGATTCACCTTCTTGTCATCACCACCCGTAACTAAAACCCTGCCTGATTTATGGCCTAACGCAAGACAGTTGACATTTGATGTGTGAGCAACAAACTCCTCTGCACAAAAGAAAATGTCATTACTTTATTAAAAAGAATCTAAATATAAGCCAAGAATTCATAAGATTTTAACTACACCAAAATAAACCATGAAAAGATTGGATAATCAGAAAGTAATATATTATATTCCAATACTCTACAGGTGCTATATACATAAGGACACAGTGTCCTGTCATAGTTATTTAAAAATTCAGAGCCTAGCTACAATAGATAGAGATGTCACAACGAGCAACATTTAAAAGAATACATAAGATCATTCACGAAGTAAGATCCTCAATTGTCCGGATCTCAATTGGACTCACGGAGTTTCCAAGATCTTTTCGTAGACGAAGCCATGCTGGGATCGTGAGACTCTTGGCGAACGACTTATTTGGCAGCGACGACAATCCGAGATTTCAATTTATTACAGAGACAGGACTTTTTTTTCGCCGAATTGAAGTGCAACATTTTTGACTCCACGAATGATATCGCGCACGTTGATTCACTTCAATGGCGTGTGAACGTCATCACCCTGCCGTAGAAAACAACAAGACAATTTGTCGTAGCTAAGTTTCCCGTGTTCCTTTGGAAAACCCGTCGTTCTGCCTTTTCGTCGTATCTCATTTCTTCGAGTCGTTCACGTTCGTGGGCAGCGCGAAGTACCCTGATGTTGTGAAATATCGAAATCCTTTACGAGAATCGAGAACACTTTCCAATCGACTGCACCTACAGATATTTAACTTTCAGTTGAGTTTGATAGAAATTTGTTTTATTAATTCATTATTAAAAGGAACTGGGAAGGAATTTCCGAATGTTTCCATTGATCCCGAGTAATTGATTGAATTACCTTATATTATTAATTGCTGTACAAATTTGTCTAATTGCTGGTAGTGTGGGTTTGCTTTTGCGAAGTATCAAAAATCATGCAACGTTAATGATCGATATCTATCGATAAACTATTTAGACTTTTTGACAAATACTTTACTTATATATATATATATATATATCTTAAGAAGTACTTTAGATTTTATAATTTAGCCAACGAAATCCTGAAGGAATGATAGCCAGCCTTTGGAGTTTCCCTATAAGGAGATCTTCATTGGGTACAATCTCCACAACATGGCTTTCCAATTCTAGTACAGATTTAACCAAATGCCTGAGGCGCATTTCTTATGTACAAGGACAATTTACTGAACATCGTGTACGAGAATATTTTTACTACATTGATCATCAGGGCATGGTATATAATATTTTAGTTTGTTGAATAACATCTTCATGTGTTACTTCAAATGTAATTGTTTTATATAAAAGATATTAATTATCACTATATAATCAGGTGTGTGCTTAACTTTTACAGCTCTTTTTAGATGACGCTCGTATGAAAAACTTCACATCTTGTTTTAAAGGTATATATTCCATCTATTTCAAAATGATGGAGCTTTGTTATGCTTATGAAATCCATTGCAGAAAAGAAATTTCTGGCTTTTTTCTTCCAAAGACTCAAAAAAAATGACACTGGACGATACTCTGAGGAGTTTCCATATTTATCAATATGTGGTAAAGAGCACAATTTTATAAGATGCGATGATGTACCTATAGTTTTTACTCGCGTGCTAGAAAAACAGAGCCCCAACACTGGTGAAATATATTATCAATTTGGATATGCTCATGCAGAAGAATTACTATCGGTCAGTGGTTGAGCTATCTCATTGGCCTATTTATAATAATTTAAAAAATTACTTTCAGGTACCCTTTGAACCAGACAAGATTTATATGAATATTAATACAGGAAGGATCTACCATCCTGCACCAGATAAGGCAGGAGGTATAGGACTAATAATTTCAAAGCTTGCCATAGAATTCAGTACGTTTTTTGAATTTGAAAATCGCGTGGATGATGGTCCAACACATTTTACGTTCAATGGGAAGAGATATAAGTTCGATACCGAATGGTACCAAAATAAAATAGTCTTAGGTGAAAAGTGAATTTTCTTATTTCGTTTTAAATAAAAATATTTTACATATGCCAGCGATATATAATTTTATATTCCTCTTAAACTTTGATGTCACTGATTGAAAATATCTTTGCTGTCCAATCATCAGACACAGTCAGCACACTATTTCCATCGCTAAAAAAAAATATACATATAATAAAAATCTTTTATTAATATTATAATAATCGAACTAACCTTGATATGTACATATCAAGAATGTCAGAAGTGTGACCTAAGAAAGATTGAAGGAGGCGACCTGATCTTCCATCAAAACATCTCAATACACCATCAAGGCCTGCAGAAAATAGCAATGACGTAGTTTCTTTCCACACCAATTTACTCAAGCCACTTTCTTGTTGGATTTCATGTCTCACAACCTGGAGAAAGGAAAATTTAAAAAAAAGTGATATACATCCTTTTTCTATAATTACTGTATTACCTGCTTTGAAATGTCCCAGATAAATATTTCTCCTGCTAGGGTTCCGGTAGCTGCTACCGGAAATTCAGGATCTTTACAAAATGCTGCAGCTTCCACCCAGTTTTCTTTGCTCTCCTCTACACTGCTGCTGCCTTCCTCATTATTTTCCGTGTCGCTTCTTAAATTTTGAAGCATTCCAATTACCTGTATATTTTTTGTTTTGAAACTTTATATTTTACTTGAACTTACAATATATATGTAGTTACTATCTAGTGAGTCTCACCTTACCAGTGTGAGATGTAGATAGTATCGTTTTACCATCTACGCCAGTAGATATTAATAATTTATTGTCAGAATGGCAATCCAGAGCAGTTATACAGGCATTGTGTCCCTTATCTGATGAAATCAAGGCTGATACAGAACTAGATTTTAAATCCATTATGCGAATAGAGCCATCTTCATATCCTATGGCAAGACGTTTACCTGCATAGTGATGAAATAAATCAATTTTATGTATGCAATATGGAATTACAGATTGCGAATCTTACCATCAGGCATGAGTACACCTGTCTCGGCACGTTGTCCATATCCTTGTAATATTTTACATTCTCCACTAGGAATTTTCCACATGTATACTTCACCATCAACAGAACCACCAAATAGAACATTAGCTGTTGTATGCCACCGTAACCACTAAAAACAATATAAAAATTGTTATTATGATTTATTGAAATTCTATGAAGTTGCATCAACTCCTTCTATGCACTTACAATGGCATCGCCCATATTGTATTCCCATACTAAGGATTTATCAATCATTTTCCATACTTTTACTATACCAGACATGTCAGCTACAGCTAAATAGGAATCATCCTTATTAAAATCAGCAAAAATAACACTATCTTCGTACCCTGTACATTCTAAAAAAGTTTCTCCACTTATGGTACTCCAAACAAAGGCTTTATCATCTTCACCCCCTGTTACTGCTAGCTTTCCATCTTTACTTAAGGAACCACAAAATACTGATCCTGGAATATAATGAACATTAAATCTTAATTTCCATTATTAATAATCTGTATTCTTGTTACCTTGATGTTTTGTAAAAGTACAGATAGCATCGTCTCTGATAGGTTGATCCTCTTCCATTTTCTCTTCCTCATTTTCCTGCTCTATTCCTGTGTCATTTCTTGATAATACTTCTATTACTTCGTCTACATCTTCAACATATACTAAACCATCCTCATCTATATCTTCATCCATGCTAGGAGAAGCTGGTGGTGTATCTTTTTGTAACATCTATAACATCATCGTATAATTCATAAAACATCATATTTATGTCCATAAATATAAATATTCCATGAATTATGATTTATAAATATTTCGTTCAGTGCATATAAATTATGTATTTTTTAAGAGCCACGCATTATTATGAAAATTTTATGACATATTTTTACTTTACATACGTTATTTCGGCAAGTTTTAATAAATTGACAGTAAATAAAAAGTTACTCCACTTTTGGGAAACGCACGTCGTGCAACAGAACCATGTGCTTTTTCATTAGGTACTCTTATACTATATATATGTATGTATGCGTGCAAATGAGATACTGGTAAAACGAAAATGACTATGACTATGAGTGTGACTTACTTGATCGATAAAATAGATTATGATTTAATGACAACAGCGTTGACTGAAGAGATAAATTAGGATGAACATCTTATAAGAAAATCAGACCTGCGTGAAGTTGGCCGGCCAACTTTTATTTTTTAAACTTTTTTTTATTCCAATCGTTTGATAGTCGTTCGATAGTGTTTGATAGTCTTGTAAAAACGTTTGATAGTCAATAGATTTTTCAGAAAATCAAAATCAAAATCTGGTGTGAAGTTGGCCGGCACTTTTTCGTTTCTAACCGGATTTTGTTTTTCCGGAGCTCAATTGATGTATAATCGTTTGATAGTTGCGAATTAATTAATAAAAACGTTTGATAGTCCACCGTTTGCAAGAAAAATGAGAAAAACCATATGCGAATCAAGGATCCCAATCCATACAATACAATTGATTCCTCGATCGGTCTGTCCGTTGAATTAGACTATATTCCAAACTTTTTCTACTTTCAATCGTTTGATAGTCATTCGATAATGTTTGATAGTCTTGTAAAACGATTGGAAGTAGAAAAAGTTTGTTATATTGCAGAGATGAGTGGGGAGATGCACAACGCTCCGGTTTTAGGCGATACCAAAAGCATGGCGCTAAATCGTAGCGGCGAGTCCAGGAGTAGGATTTCGTGATCATCGCCTCTGTCGATGTTATAGATTTCGCGTAGCCGCGCGGGTCATGATCATCGTTCCAGCCGGTATTGCAGTCAGCGAAAATGAATGGATTGCTCGGTGGTGGGGAAAAAGTTGCCGCCCCTCGCAAATCATTCTTGACAAACAGGCGGGGCAGCAAGGTCTTTCGTCTAACCGAACCCTAAACATTTGTATGGACGTAATGCGCAAACAAATGTGTATATTCAAATAAATTTCAAAGTTATAAAAAATGCATAGAAATATTGGTTTTCACTCTTTACCTCTTATCATGCCGAAAATGAACATTAAAAAATGAATGGCGAAATTCGTTGGTAAATGAAACGACCGAGAACAGTTCAAAGAGAAATTTTGAAATATCATAGATAAATATCTATAGAAAATTTAACTTAGAATTAAAGGAGCATCGTGGCTGAGTCAATAACCTGTCAAGATATACCGCTGCTGGTTACGGGTTCAATCCCCCATGAAGAACTCTTTTTTCATCTTCTTCTTTTTTTCATTTTACTACAAAAATTGTTCAAGGTTCCTCTCTTTTAACCTTTCTAGGTTGCCCAAACTTTATTTTAAGTTTATATATATTTTTTTAAATTTTATCTATGACAGAATCGACTAATATTTTAAACGCCCGCTCGTGCCGCGCGACCGCCGACTTGAGCGATTGCGGATCCTCTCTCGCTGAGGGGTCTCCTATTGCTGTTACTGCTGCCGCTAGTTCTTATGATCTTATAAATACTTTTTTATTTGCAATCTTCAGTCCCAGCGCCCAGTGTAAACTCAATAAGATTTACTATGAGAAAATAATTAGCTGACTTCATTACCTGGAATCAATAATCTTGAGAAGCAAATATGGAAATGAGCATTATCTCTGTCAGTAATTGTTCGTCCACGTGGAGAAAGGTGGCGCGAAAGTTTTTAACTGGTGTGCATCTTTATATTATTCTGCTTATATGTAAAGTAAGCGAAACGACAATAATAAGCAGTTGAATAAACGATGAAATTCTGGAAATACAACTTCCGAAAAAAGTAAAACAAACAGATGTTTCTGACGTCTGGCTAATGCACCCGGTTACGAATCGCAAGAGGTGCCGCAGTCGATACGTTCCCATTATTTAACGTAGCGGGTCCCCACTAGAACTATACTACGATCAGCGATATCAACATTACACAAACGATCTATTAAGGTAATTAAAGTATAAACGAATGGCAATAGAATTTCAAAAGGTTTCGATTAGAAAATCTTAATAATATGAGTTCTGCACTCAAATATAAAGTTTCTTCATTGAAGATGATTACGGCAATTATTTTACATTATATTTCACACACACATGACGCGTGTAAACTAGACATTTGTGTAATGTTGTGTAACATTTGTGTAATGTTGATATCGCTGATCGTAGTATAGGCCTAGTGGGGACCCGCTACGTTAAATAATGGGAACGTATCGACTGCGGCACCTCTTGCGATTCGTAACCGGGTGCATTAGCCAGACGTCAGAAACATCTGTTTGTTTTACTTTTTTCGGAAGTTGTATTTCCAGAATTTCATCGTTTATTCAACTGCTTATTATTGTCGTTTCGCTTACTTTACATATAAGCAGAATAATATAAAGATGCACACCAGTTAAAAACTTTCGCGCCACCTTTCTCCACGTGGACGAACAATTACTGACAGAGATAATGCTCATTTCCATATTTGCTTCTCAAGATTATTGATTCCAGGTAATGAATTGAGCTAATTATTTTCTCATAGTAAAATGTTTCTTTTGCTTTTTTCGAAAGTTGTATTTCTAGAATTTCATCGTTTATTCAACTGCCTACTATTATCGTTTCGCTTACTTTACATATAAGCAGAATAATATGAAGATGCACACCAGTTAAAAACTTTCGCGCCACCTTTCTCCACGTGGACGAACAATTACTGACAGAGATAATGCTCATTTCCATATTTGCTTCTCAAGATTATTGATTCCAGGTAATGAATTGAGCTAATTATTTTCTCATAGTAAATCTTATTGAGTTTACACTGGGCGCTGGAGATGCACTCCAATTAAGAACTTTCGCGCCACCCTTCTCCACGTGGACGAACAAAAGAGAATAAAATAAACTTTGCGCAACCTAGAAAGGTTAAAAGAGAGGAACCTTGACACTCAGCTACGATGCTCGTTTAATACTAAATTAAATTTATTATAGATATTTATCTATGATATTTCAAAATTTCTCTTTGAACTGTTCTCGGTCGTTTCATTTACCAACGAATTTCGCCATTCATTTTTTAATGTTCATTTTCGGCATGATAAGAGGTAAAGAGTGAAAACCAATATTTCTATGCATTT